AGCAGGAAAGAAGAGATATTCACTTTTAACCTGTCAGGACTAAACCTGTCAAAGCTCACTCGGGGCTGTCCTGTCGAGGCCCACTTCCCTCCCTCCATGTAATTCATAGTTGAATAAGCCAGATTTTGAGAAGAGTGCTGCTGGGGGCTACTCAAGTCCTAGGATTGCTCTGATGACCAGAAGAGATCAATTTGTTGGTAGGTGACACTTTCCTAAAGGTGGGTAGGGTAACAATTTCACTGTGGTTGTGAAAAGAAGGGAGTGTTCTCTGAAAAGACAGCTTGTCAGAGGGCAAAGGATCTAGCATAAGAACAGGGGCACGTCCTTAAGTGGGATCCCCGTGAGAGGTTTAATTTTGACGTGGTTTTCTTTCAGACGGTGAGCACAGTGCAATTCAGCATTATGTCTGAATCCTCCCCTTCCCACATTATAATTCTTACTGGTTACCCGCCACTGGCTCAGGAAAGTCTGGTTCCCCATAGGGCTTTGGGTGGAAGTCCAGAGAATAAAGTGAAGAGACTTTAAAGGGAAGCCTGCCCGATTCACCCCTATCTGCTGAGACCCGTGCTGAGTTGGCAGCATCTAATGCAGGGGCTTGTGGTCCAGGGTGAATAAGAAATGACCTGTAGCCAGTGAGTGGTGGCAAGGGTATCACAGGGAAAGGGCATCAATTAGTAGCAGCAATTCCAAGATCCAGCTAGAGGATGACAGTAATAGGAAATGAAAGAGGCTAACAGACAAGGGGTAGCTTTAGGACAAATAAAAGAACACCCTTACACAGTGGGTAATAAACTTTAAAAAATTACCCCTACAAGTTGAACATTTAAATAGTTTCAGGCAGGGGTTGAGATTAATTTGTCTGATAATATTTCAGGGCTGGGAAGGGACCCAGACATCATCTACTTCAGGAGTCCTCAACCCTGGCTGCGAATTACAATCACCAAGGAGGTTTTAGAAAAACATTGCCATCCAAGCCCCAGACTAATGAATCACAATCTCTGGGGTAGAATTTGGGGATTAGGATTTTTTTAACTCTGTATTTTAAAATTACAGGAAGTTGCAAAATTAGCACTTAAAGTCCTATGTACCCTTCACAGAGCTGCCCTCCCTGGTGACTGACATCTTAAATAACTACAGTACAAT